GGGCAGTCAGAGCGGACAATTCAGATTTTGGAGGATATGCTCAGGGCATGTGTGATTGACTTTGGAGGTCAGTGGGATCGTTTCTTGCCTTTGGCCGAGTTTGCTTATAATAACAATTACCAATCCAACATCGAGATGGCTCCATTTGAGGCTTTATATGGTCGGCGATGTCGTTCGCCCATCGGATGGTTTGAGCCCGGTGAGTCTAAGTTATATGGTATTGATTTGGTGAAAGATGCCTTGGAAAAAGTAAAGTTGATTCAGGAGCGACTTCGTACTGCACAGTCCAGACAAAAGTGTTACGCAGATCAGAAAGCACGTGATTTATCATTTATGGTGGGTGAAAAAGTTCTCTTGAAAGTTTCGCCGATGAAGGGAATCATGAGATTTGGGAAAAGGGGGAAGTTGAGCCCAAGGTTTATAGGCCCATTTGAGGTGTTCAGACAAGTTGGGGAGGTTGCTTATGAGCTTGCTTTGCCTCCCAGTTTAACAGGAGTTCATCCGGTTTTTCATGTATCTATGCTTCAGAAGTATCATGCCTACCTATCACACGTGTTAGACTTCAGCACAGTTCAACTAGATAATAGTTTGGGCTATAAAGAAGAACCAGTTGCCATTGTTGATAAGCATGTTTGCCAGTTGAGGTCCAAGAGGATTTATGCAGTAAAAGTCCAGTGGAGGGGCCAACCAGTCGAGGAAGCGACTTAGGAGGCCGAGGAAAACATGCAGGGTATATATCCACACTTATTCAGCACTCCAGGTAAAATTCGAAATCCGTTCGAGGACGAACGTTTGTTTAAGAGGTGGAAAATGTAATGACCCAACCGTTCATTTTGACTTTTAGAACACTGTTCCCCTAAATAAAACTCCTCGTATGTGCTTTTATTAATGTATGACTTGCGAAAATGATTGGTTCGGGATTTGAAAGTGCTCGGGTTGAAATCGGAACACTTGGTTCCGTAAGTTGCCCTTAAAAGGCCAAGTTTGACTTCGGTCAATATTTTGAGAAACCGACCTCGGAATCGGGATTTGATGGTTCCAATAAGTTCGTATGATGATTTCGGATTTGGGCGTATATTCGAATCGGGTTTTGGATAACCCGAGAGCGTTTTGGCGCTTAATAGTGAAAATCAACTATTTGAAGGTTTAAAGTTCTTTAAATTTGGTTTGGAGTAGGTTTTGGAGTAATAGAGGTTAGTTTGAAATTTTGAGTTTGGGAATAGTTTTGTACGGTGATTTAAGACTTGCACGCAAAATTTGGTGTCATTCTGAGTAGTATAAGCATATTTCGACGCGTTCAGAGTAAGCTTGAAGAATTTAATATTTCTAAGTTGAATCAATTTGGTTTGGGGTATGATTCTTAGATTTGATGTTTTTTTACACGTTCCGAGAGTTTGAGAGAGTCTATTTTATGATTTCTAACCTGTTGGTATGTTCGGGCGGGGCCCCGGGAGGGCCGAGTGTTAACTGGACGGGGCTCGGACTAATTTTGGAATTTTGAAGTTTCCAGCTTCTGATATGATCGCACTTGCGTATGGGCAGCCGCATGTGCGAGCTCGCGGGTATGAAGGTGAGGAGCAGGTCTGCCACAGCAGGTGCGGAACTTTGGGCACACCTGCGAACGCGCAGATGCGAAGCTTGGCAGCGAAGGAAAACTCGCACCTGCGAGGCTTTTCCGCATGTGCGGTACACCCTCCGCAGGTGCGGAGATTGCATAAGGCAGAACCTTCATTTAAGTCCGGAGTTGCGTATTTTTGTCCATTTTTCTTCCATGTTTAGGCGATTTCAGAGCTTTTTGAGAGGGGATTTCAACTAGCAACTTGGAGGTAAGTTAATTCTACACACCTTGATTTAAATACATAGATTATGGGTAGATTATAATCGGTAAATCTTAGAAATCAAGGGTTTAGATAAAAAAACCTAGAATTTTATAAAATGATATTTTAACCACGAAAATGGTTATGGAATTGGATAGAAATTATGTAATTGAGTTCTTGAGATTATGGGTAACGTTTTCATCTGAAAATTTCTGGAATCCTGGCACGTGGGGCCGGGTTGAATTATAGAAATTTTACCATTTTGGATAGGGTAAGTTATTTAATAGATGAATTTTGAATTATTGAACGTGTATTAATTATAGTATATAACTTTTGGTTAGTTTCAGATTTTTCGGCATCGAATTGAGGTTTTCGCGACATTTTGATCGAAAAAGTGGACTTTGAGACAAGGTAAGTCTTTTGTCTAATCTTGTGAGGGAGAATTTACCCCATAGTTGATTAAAAATAAAAATTATTGCTAATTTTGGGGGGCAACGTACGCACGAGGTGACGAGAGTCCGTACGTAGCTACTATCTATGCTAAGTCCGGGTAGTTTAAGACTCAAAGCATGAATTATGTTTGTAAATTGTATTCTTTATTTAATTAAATTATTTGATATATATTGTGAATTATTAGAGAAAATAGTAAGAGATTGAAATCTCATATACTTGAATTTTTGTTTGAATTAATTTAATTGTTAAAAGGAATTGTGCATCCTCTCGTATTAACCCTTTAATAAATACACTCTCATTCCGGAGGTACATAAGAAAATGTCCTTCTTTCTAGTGGAGCGATCCGAACGCCTCGGCAGTATAGATGCATCTATGGATCGCGCCGCACGTCCCTCGGCAGTGTACACGACACTCTGGATTGGTTTATACGACCTCGGCAGAAATTATGCCTAATAATAATAATAATTATAAGATACCTTGATATCTTTATTGTAGCTTGTGAATTTAATTAATAGATTGAAAATTATTGCAATTGAAGGAATTTAATTATTTCTGCTGGTTAAATAAAAATTATTGTTAACTCTATGAATCATGTTGATTTAAATATTTCTATTTTATTCTATTTATTATTGTTGACCTTTAGTGAGTGTCAAAGTCGATCAACTCGTCTCTACCCCTTCGAGATTAGGCTTGATACTTACTGGGTACACGTTGTTTACGTACTCATGCTACACTTGCTGTACTTTTTGTGCAGGACCTGAGACAGGTGCTATAGTCGGACCTATCGATGCGCACCCACGATACCCAGAGGCTTGGTGTGACATGCCCTTCTGAGTTATTCTGCAGCAACCAATGCCTCTTCCTTAAGACTTTATTCTGTCTATTTTATTACAGATAATATTTAGATTTTTTTTTGTATAACCTACTAGATGCTCATACACTTGTGACATCAGGTCTTGGCACACACATTGGTAGAATTGAGAGTTGCTTACTTTTCTTGGTTTAAATTAACCGGTATCTTTTCTATTTTTCTTTAATATTGTTAGTAAAAGAACAAAATTACTTGAAAATGTTTGAAAATAATTGATGTATGTTTTAATTGCTAGCTGGCTTACCTAGCCGTTGTGTTGGGCGCCATCACGACCTATAAGTGAAATTGGGTCGTGACAAAATTTCTACCATGTACTATATTCTTAATAATGGTCGTTCATGCTTTATTAACAAACAACTCCACATTGAATATTTGTCATATGATTTTTGTTACAATATCTCGTATATGATCATTGGTTTAATATTGACTCATATACGAATAGTGTATAGGTTGTTTGGATCGTTGCATTCGTCACATAAAATTGGTTAGGCATTCAAACTCATATCACTTGAATATTTTATTAATTTACTTAACAGTTTTAAACTACCGTGTGCTTCCTTTTAGGTTTAGAATTTTTTAGAATTTACATTATTTGAGATTCTTTCCTTACGGGTTTTTTTTCCCTTTTGGTTTTTGTTTCCTTTAGTTTTAGAATTCTTGGGGATTTTTCTTCGTTGCTTTTTCTTTTTGTCCACATCTTGCTTTGAGAGAAATTCTTTGTATAGGTAAGTTTGTGCTTCACTATCTTTTGAGCATATCTCAAAATATACGGTGAACATGATTCTCGTGGCACATGTTATAATATTTTCCAATTTTTGTTTGCTCTAATAGTAGATTATTATTGGTATTCCGTTAGAACTTGCGCTATTAATTATTTCAAGTCTTTTTTATAAGAGCATAAACGTTCAAAATGTAGCACATACATGGAATAGGCACAAAGTTAAGTCTCCAAATAAATAGCCATTAATTGTAAATACAAATACCAAATAAGATACTACTTATACCAATAATATAGTCACTTAGAATAGCTTAAAAGATTAATTAGCGAGCTCCTCCTTAAAGTTATCTGATGCAAGGTTTGGTAAAAGCATGGATAGCAGAAGCAGGAAGCTTAGGGATGACTCCATAACAGAAAATACACTATAAAGACTAAAGTAAAAAACAGAAAGTACTACATGGTAAATAAAATAACGTAAAACAACTTATTTCAAGTTCGGCTTGAGTGTTACTAAATTCACTTATTTTATTAAAATACAATTATATACCAGAAGTAAAACAACCTAATAAAAATAAGAACAAGCCTGTAATATGATGAAGATAAAGAATTCAATAACAACAATTTAAATAAATGAAAGAAAAATGCGAGGAAAAGATAGAAGAAAATGAAACTTCACATATTATCTCAAAAGCACATTTCTAACACAACATATGACTGTATTTATTAGCAGCCGATTATGTAATTAAATTTTAAAATACTAAAAACTGATAAAACATTAGGGCGAAAATTTCCATTCAAGAAAAGTAGTTCCATGAAATACTCAACAAGAAAAATAAGTTGTTTTTGTTTATTATCTTATTCTTGTTTAATTTTATTAAGAATTGCATGAATTTATTAACTTAATACATGTACAAGCATAACTGGTGATCAATAAGGACAAATAAGTTGGCTTAAATTATTTTATTAGTAATTATTATTCAAAATCAATACTTATAATAATTAAGGGTATTTTATCAAACTAGCTGGTATTTTAAAGTCATATTAAATTTAAATTGTCACGATACAAAATCCGACTAGACGTGATGGCACCTAACCCAACCCGCTAGGTAAGTCAATTAACCACTAACCAATTCCAATAACAATTAATAAAGCAATTAAGTAAAGAAATATCTAAATCTAATAGATTCCACAAGAACTGGTAGTACAAATCATGAGCTTCTAAGAATAGAGTTTACAAAACGGAAATAAAATATATACATAGTCTGTTTGAAAAGTACATAAACAGAGTTTTATAGATCTAAGACTACCACGAACAAGAGGCAGCTACAACACGCAGGTACATCTTCAGATCCAACTCCCAACGAACACGGTAACATCTGCACATAAGGTGCCATGAAAACTCTAGAGTCCCAACTCACATGGTTCACGCCCACACGCCCGTCACCTAGCATGTGCGTCACCTCAATACCAATCACATAACACGTATTACAGGGTCTCATACCCTCAGCACTAAGATTATAAGAGTTACTTACCTCGAACAAGCTAATACCAATGCCGAGCAAACCAAACGGTGCTCCAAAGATGCCATCACACACGTTCCGACCTCCGAACGGCTCGAAACTAATCAAAAGTAACTCAAATACATCAAACAATGCTAAAGGAACCAATCCCGATCGAAAAGATCAAATCTTGAATCAAAAGCCCAAAATCGGCCAAAACTCACACTCGGGCCCACGCCTCGGAACCGATCAAACTCACAAAATCCGATAACCCTTTCAATTACGAGTCCACCCATACTAGTTTTACTCAAATGCGACTCCAATTTGATATTCAAAACTAAAAAATTCACATTATGAAACTTTAGGCCAAAACCCCCAATTTCCTCTTTAAAATTCACAATTCCATTACCAAAAACGAAGATAGATTCATGAAATATAACCAAAATCGAGTAGAGAACACTTACCCCAATTCATATGGCGAAATTTTCTTCAAGAATCGCCTCAATCCGAGCTCCATAGCTCCCAAAATGTAAACAAATGGCCGAACCCCTCGAAATTGAGTACTTTATACTTCTGCCCAGGCATCCTCTTACGCGAACGCATCAACACCATCGCGTTCGCGATGAACAAAATAATTCGCCACCATAATACACTTCGCGGTAAAAACCTCGTGAACGCGACTCACAGCTGGCTCAGACCTTCACGAACACGGCTCCAATTACGCAAACGCGATGAAGAAGGCATCCGGCTCCCAACTCAACCCTACGCGTCCGTGATCCATCATACGCGAACGCGAAGAAGACTTGCCCCAACACTACGCGAACGCAGACCATTACTCTCGAACGCGATGAAGAAATGCTACTGCCATCCAAATACACTACGCATTCGCGACACTTACCACGCGAACGTGATGAAGAACTGAGATACCAGAAAATAGCAGAACACAACAGTACAAAAATGAAGAAAAATGATCCAAAATAAATTTGAAATATGCCGAGCCCCTCGGGACCCCGTCCAAATATACCAAAAAGTCCTATAACATAACACGGACCTACTCGAGGTCTCAAAACACACAAAACAACATCGGAACGATGAATCACACCTCAATTCCAATTCAATGAACTTTGAAACTTCAAACTTCCACAACCGATGCCGAAACCTATCAAATCACGTCCGATTGACCTTAGATTATGCACACAAGTCACATTCGACATTACAGACCTGCTCCAACTTTCGGAATTGGAATCCGACCCTGATATCAAAAAGTCCACCTCTGGTCAAACTTTTCTAAATTTTAACTTTCGCCATTTCGAGCCAAATTCAACCACGGACCTCCGTATCACAATCTGGACGCGCTCCTAAGTCCAAAACCACCCAACGGAGCTAACCAATTTCAATAACAATTAATAAAGCAATTAAGCAAAGAAATATCTAAATCTAATACATTCCCCAAGAATTGATAGTACAAATCATGAGCTTCTAAGAATAGAGTTTACAAAACAGAAATAAAATATATACATAGTCTGTTTGAAAAGTACATAAACAGAGTTTTATAGATCTAAGACTACCACGAACAAGAGGCAGCTACAACACGCAGGTACATCTTCAGATCCAGCTCCCAACGAACACGGTAACATCTGCACACAAGGTGCCATGAAAACTCTAGAGTCCCAACTCACATGGTGCACGCCCACACGCCCGTCACCTAGCATGTGTGTCACCTCAATACCAATCATATAACATGTATTACATGGTCTCATACCCTCAGCACTAAGATTATAAGAGTTACTTACCTCGAACAAGCCAATACCAATACCGAGCAAACCAAACGGTGCTCCAAAGATGCCATCACATGCGTTCCGACCTCCGAACGGCTCGAAACTAACCAAAAATAACTCAAATACATCAAACAATGCTAAAGGAACCAATCCCGATCGAAAAGATCAAATCTTGAATCAAAAGCCCAAAATCGGCCAAAACTCACACTCGAGCCCACGCCTCGGAACCGATCAAACTCACAAAATCCGACAACCTTTTCAATTACGAGTCCAGCCATACTAGTTTCACTCAAATACGACTCCAATTTGATGTTCAAAACTAAAAAATTCACATTATGAAACTTTAGGCCAAAACCCCCAATTTTCTCTTTAAAATTCACGATTCCATTACCAAAAACGAAGATAGATTCATGAAATATAACCAAAATCGAGTAGAGAACACTTACCCCAATTCATATGGTAAAAATTTCTTCAAGAACGCCTCAATATGAGCTCTATAGCTCCCAAAATGTAAACAAATGGCCGAACCCCTAGAAATAGAGTACTTTATACTTCTGTCCAGGCATCCTCTTACGCGAACGCGTCAACACCATCGTGTTCGCGATGAAAAAAATAATCTGCCACCATAATACACTTCGCGTTCGCGGTAAAAACCTCGCGAACACGACTCACAGCTGGCTCAGACCTTCACGAACGTAGCTCCAACTACGCGAACGCGATGAAGAAGGCCTCCGGCTCTAGCTCCCAGCTCAACCCTACGCGTCTGCGATCCATCATACGCGAACGCGAAGAAGACTTGCCCCAACACTATGCGAACGCGGACCATTACTCTCAAACGCGATGAAGAAATGCTACTGCCAACCAAATACACTACGCATTCGTGACACTTGCCACGCGAAC